TTGACGTAATAAATAAACAATAGCTCCATTTGGGGCGGAAATATGCTCGGATATTTGTCCGCGGACATTATCTGTTCCAAGAAGCGAACAGTTTTCCGAGAGCGTAGCCCGAGGAAAACTGTGAGCTTTGAGGAACAGATAATGTTCAAGGACAAATATCCGAGCATATTTCCGCGCCAAATGGAGGTTATTGTGTTTACTATTCTTCAATTGCTTTACGCAACGCGCGCGGTTTTGAAAATTGGGGAATATCACTCTGATATTCCCCAGTTTTAGCTGGGGAATATTCAGTCACGTGACTTGTTTAGACCAATCGCGCGCGAGTAAAAATATTTGATGGATTACAATAAAACATATTCACGTATCAGGGGCACCTTAGATTTCGTGGGTGCAACTTTTTTTTGTCAAAAACTGGTCAAAATAATCACATTCATTCATGCCAAAAATATTTACCGTGTAGCTCTTTGTTTGTTAGCCATACTGGGTGAAAGCTACGTTCATCTATTTTTACCCGCCATGTCGGGTAACTGAAGTCACGTACCAAGAGTTTTGTTTTATTTACTGAATATTGAACGTAGAATTTATTGTTCCTTCTAGAGGATTTATTCTAGACACATGCATGAGTTTTTTGCTCATGACTTGTGGAATCGAGTGTTGTACGGGAGTCAGGACATGCAATTGAATTCTAATGAGAATCATAACCTTTATTGCAACTTTTTCGCGACCGGTCGCAAAATTTTTCAAAAAACTCTCGCAAAACTCGTCAGCTCGTTTTCCATCGTTGTATAAACGACGGAATCAAATGGCCAGACTTCGGCAAAATAACTCCTCCTTTGTTCTAATATCAACGAATTAATTATAACGCATCCCCACAGCGTTGAAAGTTTTCCTTAGCTTTAATAACAAAATATAAACAAATGCTTGCGTGTGAAGGCTGTAATACTCTTTTGTTCGCATTCAAGCCGCATTGAAGACAGTATAACCTTGCTTTTCCGTTTTCACGCACACGTGTTTTCATAACAACAAGACCTATCCCATAATACTTGTTACGGGCAGCCACAGGCGGCCCAGCGGACTCCACAAAGGCGCTTGGGCTGTCCACGCATCGCGTGAGTAACATCCGCTGAAGAACTGGGTACAAAGTCCAAAAATAACTTAATAAGGATTACTTTGGGTATAAGGCATTAACCTTCCTACCTTGATCTTCTCTTGATTTACTATTGATGTAGAAAATATGGTTTTTCTTGTAAATGTTTTAACAATTTACACGAAATCAAATATGCAGAATTGTTTCATTCTTGCATTTTCTACTTGTCATGCATCATAGTTTAAGAAAATTGTATTGTTTTGAATAACAAATATGGCTCTCGAAAAAATCAGATTTTATCGATTTTGGGTGTTTTGGGTATCGTTTCCACGGAAGTATTGAATTCGCTTAAAATATGTAATAGCAAACCGAGGGCAAACTTCAATCTATTTTGAACAACCGGTGTAATTTTCACATCCATCCGATTAACGGAAGACTGTAAAAAACTCTAGTTGAAAATGCTAGGTATGGTCCGGAAAAAAAGAAACTGTTTCGAGACACCTTAAATCAAGAATGCAAAAACTTCATAAATACTGAATCAATATAAAATATGGAAAGGCTGAGTAACCCTGCCTTGTTTTCGTATGAACGGCTGATTTGTAAGAGTATTTTCAACGCGACCCGAGGGCATGCTCTACTCGAAATTACGGAATCTCTTATGGTTGTTCTGTATTAAAAGTATAGAATATACAGCGAATTCCTGTGAGCCGATTAGTACCTTTTCATTGCATCATTCTCTTTGGCTGAATTTCATAGTTTGTGGACCTAAAGTTCTCGGAAAGCTATGCTAATTCCAAGAACTCATAATGGTGTTTAGATTAAGTAGGGTATTCCCCTTTGTGAGGGAATTTTCCCTTACATCAAGAGCTTGTGATTGGTTTATGAATCCAATGTGATCAACTTTTCTGACTCGAAAATACAAATTTTCCTTCACTTTAAGCTTCTAAGAGTGGTTTACTGTGCTAGATCGTTTCTTTTGAGAACCAAAGAAATGGATGATAGCCTGTTGTATGACCAAGTTTTCCCTGGGTCTGTGAATATCATGGATACACCATGGTCAGTTGAAAATTTACTGTTTGAAAAGGTAGACTCTGATAATGATATAGCGGACCTTTTCAACGGCGGAGGGAAGGACGAGGGTTTTGACGAAGAAGACGTGATATCTAATCCGGGAACTCCAAGAAACATCGAAGAAATAAGCGACGAGGCGATTGAGAATCTCCGGGTTCCGGAGCTGAATAAGCTTCTTCGTGGCGTTCCGAGAGACGAGGCTGTAAAGATACGGCGAAAGCGTCGTAACCTCAAGAATCGAGGTTACGCGTTGAGATGCCGTATGCGGCGACAACAGTTTCAGGAAGACCTTTTCAACGAAAATCAGCTCTTAAAAAGGCAGTTGGAAGATGACAAAGAGAAGCTTCGTAAGGTGCTGAAGGAGAGAAACATATTCAAGAGAAAATTCCTGCAGCTACAGTCAGCTTGCATTGGAGAGTACATGGTGGAACGTCTCGTACCTCCAGACCTCGCCTTGGAGACAGGAATCGCGTGAATCAAGTATTCAAATGTTCTGACTGCTTCATAACGAACAGTTACACAGCCTGTACAGTCAAACTAAGTGAGATGATCATAGAGGTTAAAACTGTTCCGACTCTCGTTGTATTGAAAATTCAATACCTCTGCAAACTGGCTCGGAACTCGGAGACAATCTTCTACGATGGACTGCAGTGTAGCTCAAGTAATATAGCTGAGATAACATAGAGATAAGGGATTTAATTCCTAATCATTTTACTTTTATTTAATGCGTTAGTCAGTGGTGTAGAGTGTTAGCTTGGCTGCCTATGTCTATGTAATCAAGAATGTATTACTTGTTCCTCCCTCGGCTACAAAGGCGGGTTGTTAGAAGTATATTGCTATCAGATAGTTGGTTTGTCCATCATTGACGGACGTAAATGAATTTGAACTTTTGTACCAAGCCAGAGGTTCCGCGTTCGTCACCGCTGTTTCTTCACATATTCATGCGTGTTCTGAACATTATGTAGGTTAATAGCGTGCAATATATTTAAATGCAACTGTTGATGTCTTACCGTACCGACTTTCTTTCTTGAAGAAATTGTACTTATTAGAATCATGTGCGCCCGCTAGTTACAAGTGCAGTTTCTATAAATTCCATTCAGATTATTACTTTTTGCTATATAAAGCGTTTAGAAACCGAAAACGCCGCACACCGATTCGAAAGTGAAACTAGTCAAAATGCTGATTATTTCTAAACAGGGTTGGCAGTTTTGTCTTGTACCAAAAACATAAGCTCATTGTTTTAGCATTTATAAATGTTACAAATACCCCAAATCTGACCACTGAAAATAAAAACTATGTTATTTCAAATAATCTGTATTGAAGTAAAGCAGAAGTATTAAACAGTCCCAGGGTGCTGAGTAACAAAAGAAGAGGTCATGTTGCCTTATTGTTCTCAACGTAGTGCTAGTCTTTAAAAATTTTACTGTTGGTTTTCCTTAAACCCGAGTTTTCTGTTTCGTATTAGCTACAGTACATAAAATTACTTCGACAGTTTGTGTGTTTCTTTTCTTTGTCAAGTTTGAAAGTAGCAGACGGAACTAAAAATACAAAACACTTTGCACTGTTTTATAGCAAAACCGGGAGCAATCTGGTTCATTAGCCTCTTCTCCGATCCAGGGTAGTTCGGATGGACAGGATTTAGCTCTAAATCATGGGATTTTGTTTGGAAATCAGGTGAATGATTCATAGTGTCCTAGTGAATTTTGTCCGCATAAGAGACTATACAAGGGTCAAATGTTCAGATAAGTCGAAACAAATCCGGATTTGGCTCCGCCAACCGGGAAAAATAAGATGGAATACCTCTTGAGATTTTTCTTATCAGGGGTTTAAAAAGTTTCTTTCGATAAATTTAATGATCCACATAATATCCATCTAAAACGATTGGTGAATATTTTGGTTAATGGTAAAAAATTTGAAAAGTAAATGGCCTCAGGATTGTCCTGATTGGGTGCACATAAAAAACAAAATAGACTGCCAATATCACAGATGAATTTGCAACTGTGACCAATTGTAATATACTTGCGTAATTCTAAGTAGCTAAGGGAACTACAAATAGCCAGCCAGCCAGTGAGAACATTTCACATTCAAAAATGCTTTGAAGAGCTTATTAGAACTTTTCAGAAACACCGTGGTGCATTATATTCTACTGACATGGAGCGATCGCTACTGACGTCATTGTTTTCCTCATTTATAGTATACGACTCTGCACAGAAAAAGACTTATTCTAGATACGAATTGACTCCAAATATTCAAAGAGCTTGTGTAGCTTAGTAATTGGTCAAATGTTTGGCTTTTTGAGCGCAATATTGGAGGAGAAACTGGCTTTCATAAACCAAAGAATTAATTTCTGGGTGGCTAAAACGCTAACGAGCCCATACATTTCTTTGTGGAATTTTGAGTTTTTAAGCTTGCATCTCTCACAAAAAGCATTTATTATACATCGGGCTGAAATTCCTTGGGACGTACAGTAAATCTTGCATTTTCGATATTCAGGCCGATATTTTTGTAGCTTGATCAGAAAACAAAGTGCGTATGATAATGAGGCAAGCGTTGCCCCTATTGAGGAATACGAGAAGCTTCCAGAACCAATCAGTTGTATCATAATTAAGTGAAGGGGGTTCCCCTTTTGTATGTGCCAAAATTCCCAATAATTGTTTAAGCTTGAGGGCTTTCGGTTTCAAAACAACATCCCGGAAGCTCTTAAATTTGGACCTGGGAGATTATATTTCTATCTAGAAGCGACTCAATCGTTTGTAGAGTTAGCCCCTCTTCGATTTGATTCGATATTCCATACCATAAGGCACAAGTAATTGCGCAAGGACATCGTAGAAGCTTGGTCCTAATGGGAGACCTCGATGAACAACATAAAGAATCAATATCGCCATGCAGAAGCAGACGAAAGCCAAGGCCTGCTCTCAGACGTATTCCCAAGAAGGAGCACAGCGATTTCGATCCGGGATTTTTTCCAAGATTGAGTGACAAGAAACTGGAAAAGATGAGCATCAAGGAGCTGAACGACTACACTCGACAGCTTCCAAAACATCAGGTCCAAGGGCTCAAGAAAAGGAGGCGAATTCTCAAAAACCGAAAATATGCCTTGAAATGTCGATTGAAGAGCATAAGTAAGCGACAATATATGGCAGAAGAAAATCGGTCTCTAGAGAAAGAACTGTCAGCAACAAAAGGGGAACTTAAAACGATTCTTGACGAAAGAGATTACTACAAGTCGAAATATGTTCACCTCTGCAGCCGTGTCTTCGAGCACCGCAGTAAGAGCCAGCAACGTTGCTTGCTGATTGGAGCGCTGCCAAAATGAAATTCGGATGATTTTAAATACTACATGTACGCCATTAATTGTTGTAGACTACTGAAGTTTTGCAAAAGAACCAGATCCATTTTAGAGTATTAATTGGTAATGAAAGGGTCTTTGCATATGGCGCAGTTGATTATCTCTTGGATCCTTCTGGCCAGTTCAGTAGAATCGAGAAGCAATTGAATATGGAACTCTTCTGATTCTTATACATAGATCAAGTACATTTGGCTGTAAGGTACTGATGCCAGTGGAAGGGGAAACAAACAGGAAAGCAAGATTAACACAAAGTTTTGATTTGAGAGGCTCTGGAGCGTACGTTTAATCTTGTTTACACATCACTGAAGAGAAGCTGGCTCCACTAGGTCCCTCTTCACGTGTCACGCAACAGTTCAGTAACCCCTGCAGAAGCAAGGTGTGCTCTAGTTTAGTATTTCACTCTCTTAAGCCAATTCAGTCCATAGTGAGCTGAGAAGTAGTGCAGACAGTTCTGCCCGTGGGGTGAAGGCCGAATTGTGAACGAGGGGACGACGTATTTTTGTTGCCGAGCCTGTGTTTGAGCCGCGTGAAAGTGTTTCAGGCGAACGAGACTTTTGGAAGGGTGAAGACAACCAGACTAAACAAACAGAGTCTAAACAAACAGAGTCTAAACAAACACAGTCCTCTCGAATGGGAATTTGATGCAGCAACATGGTTGGCTTATTGTTAGTTTATTTCTACTGGTTATCAACTTGAGTGTTTATTACAAAATGTACAGCCTTTCGGAATAGTTTAGTTATTGGTAAGTTTTTAGTCTAGTTATCAAAACTTTATTTCAAAGAGACGCTTAATCTTAGCGATGGTTCTTTCTTTCTTGATTTCTCCGGTTCGCTTTATAGCAAATATTACCACGGTATGCGAAATGTTTTGAAAGGAATTACTATGCCGAGAAGATTGGTGGCAGGAATTAGTCTTGAAAAGAATTACTGATGAGGTTAACCAATTACATTTCCTTCATTTTCATTGACTTAATCTCATGAAGTGACGTCATACTAAAAGGGGCTATATCAACTGTTCCTCGAGGCTTGAACAAGTGTGTTCCTGAAAATATGTAGCACATTTCTACCATGGAGTCCTATGTCAAATCGGAACTTGAGGAAGTTCACCGAGTAAACGACGAAGGACACCGCTTGTCTCAGCTTCTCAAAGGGATTGATTTCTCTACCCAGCTGGTGTCAATTATCTTCATTTACACGGAATCGTATCGTTACCGAGAACGTCAGGTGATCTGGTTTTAACATTTTGCTATTTCTAAAAGTAGAGAATAATATAACAGCGAAAGAAGTGTTGAAACTCGTCTTGTTGTAAATACAGTAATATCAAGGTGAAAGAAATGATTTCCTTCATTGAATTTTCATTGTATTGTAAATATGGATTACGTGTAGATAGGTTAGTTTTTTTAACCTTCTTACGTTGCTCAGGCTTTGCTTCTAATTAAGCTAATTGTTTGAAGCGTATATGACATGTAAAATGAAATCAGAATGTTCGTTCAGCTTTACTCCTCATTCGCGTAACTTGATCACGCTTTTTGTAACATATTTTATTTCTTTTCCTTTTTAATGCAAATAAACTTGGTACTGAAATAAATCGTCAGCATACATTGGTTTATATTTAAGTGCTATTCATGAGATAATATGTGACTTAAAACTGATCTGCTCATTCGTGTTCGGATTTTCTGCATTTTCTTTGTATTTTCTCTATTTTTCTCTTGCTTTACTCCAAATTTTATGAACCCAGTTTAAAGTCAGTAGTTCGAATCATTTTATTATGCAGGCCTACGTCTTCCTTGAAATCTCGCAGTTCCAAAAATGGGTCCAAAGGCGTTTCGAGGCAAGTAAACTCTTTCTAACCCGTGAATTGTTCCAGTAAGTAATTATAATAGTTTATTTGCATGTTTCGCGCCCTATTTGTTGTAGAAGAATCGTTTTATGTAATTAAAAGTTAATTAATTAATTTCACAGGAAAGCTATTAAGGTTTACGGTAGTTAAAACTAATCGAGTTACTGAAATTATTGTATAATTTATCAGGTTATATCGTTATAAGGCGTCATAGCTGGAACAGTCAGTCGATGGGTTCGAAGTCTAAGTCTGCCGGGTCCACAACCTGGACAAAAAGGTAATAAAAATACTACTTTAATGAAACGTTTATGACAACAACAACAACAGCAACGACAACGAAGATGATGATGATGGTAAAAAATGTAATGATGCAAAGAGAGTAAGAGACGACGTGACGTCTACTTGACTGTAAGAAACCATGACACGACGCCGAGGACAACGTCTATTGAAAAACGATTTTATATTTTACCTACGAATCTCGCGGTGCTCTAAACTCTAAACTTTGTTTATCGCTGTCAAAACTATCACAAAACTAAGTCTGGAACACAGCGATAAATTTGAAATAGAAATTTATAAAATTAGCGGTTGTGCTTCATGATCTCCAGACAACGCAGAATTCGGTCACTTTGAACGTTGTTGTTTTGCAGAGGACGGCAAAGAGATGTATCAAGAATTACAACACACGTGCACGGGCATTGTTCTGCTCATTAAATCTTTTGTTTAGCGACATTCCCGTTGCCGTCGTGGTTTTCTTAAAGTCCCTTGTAATTTTGTTAGCACAGACATGACCCACAATCCCCCACTTTGTTTTGCCGAATGGAACTAGAGCTATCGCTAGAAACTTAATTTTTTTGGAAAAACCTGCTACCGCGGTTAGTTTACTTGTATCACCTTCAAGATGGTAAAAAGCTAAGGGTGTTTTTATTACCTGAACTGTGTTCTCTTTTAGATCATCCGTGCCTTTCGATGGTTTCAGCACTAAAAGAAAAAGTCAATAACTTAAATTGTTAATGTCGCAGATGGAGTGAATCTCGTGTAAGCTAAATGTTACCTTTCCCATGATATAAGCCTTACTTTTAGAGTTACTCTTGATTCTATCCAAAAAGACCTGCAAAGGAAACATGACGTAATGTGAAAAGTTTATCTACTTAAGTTATTGCTGTTTATGTCTAGAATGAAGTTGATGTGAAGACTCTTTAGCTCGATTCTTCAGCATTGGGTGAGCTGAGTAACTCAATATTAACAACAGAAGCACAAGTAACAAAAACATCTCTGGGGAAAAACCTGAGGAGGAGGAAGCTGGGGGGGGGGGGGGGAAGTTAATAGAGATTTAATCATCAAATAATACTCCCAGCCTTTTAGCAGTAGAAGCACACGTTTAGTAATAGCAAGAGGCCATGATCTTTATGGTCTCTTGGTCATAGCAGTCTTTACTCTCAGAGAGTTGATGTGAGATGTTGTAAGGTATTCCGAATCCGACAGTTCAGATCCGTGTTCTACTTTCACGAATTGAGATGTCTCATTTATCCACCGTACCGTCTTGTTTTACCTCTCGGTAAACGTCCAGAGTTGGCCGGCTTTATAACAAACTAATTATTATTGACCAAACCAGTTTAAGTTTATTGCCTCGTACTCGTGGATCAATGTTTGTTTTCCATCAAATGGTATCAGCCAAAATAAATGAGCATCTCGTGAAAACACTTAGGCCCCACGAAGATCAATATCTGCCTTGGACTTCATTGTAAACTTACTTCTTGCGAGGAGGCAATTTTCGTAGAACGTCTTTTCTTCATCCTATTTAACGCGGCGCGAACCTGTTGACAAGACCAGAACCTCGTTACTGGACGAACAAAGTATTTTTTTTAGCGCTCATGAAATAGTGCTTTAAATGTTTGCATGGCAACCTAATTCCTTGGAAAAGGATATGGCGTATTTGACCAAATCACTTCGCACTTCTAATCAGTTGTCCAGTCTTTAAGAAATTTTTTTATAACAATAATCTTATGATCCCATATATCTTCTACGGACTCTATTCTATATCCGTCGCACGAGGGTTGTTCCTAAAATAAGTCGAAGGAAGAACGACTATTCAAGGCATTGAAGCAATGATGAATTCATAAAATTACTATTAACCAGTTTATCAGGTGAAATCAAAATTCTTATAATTATTTTTTGGGGCTTATGTTTGCACACTTTTCATGCTATGTCGATAGTGAAAATGTAGTAACTGTTACCTCAGTATTGCCAACGCAATGAAAAGCAAAGATGAACAGACCCTGCAGCGAAGACGAAACAAGTAAAAAGCAGTAATAAACATTGGGTGTTAGCAATGGAATATGTAGTTAAGACTGCAAAACTGCTCCACGGTTGAAACAGTTGTACAGTCCAAATGAATCAAAATCATATTCCTTTACTTTTTCAACATATTTAATCAATATTGGTACATTCCAGAGAAAAAATAAAGCCTAATAATAATAATAAATAAATATTTATATATGTAAAGAAACTCGAAATCTGAAGACCCTTCTAGTTTAATTCCTCCTGACAAGACAGGCATCTAAGAGTTGAATTCAATGCTTCTGACGTTCCACGTGTCTTTATTGCTGTCCTTAGAAATCAGTCGCTTGATTACACCAACATAACATAACATCATATAGCGAAAGTGTTAAGCATCGAAACCCAGAAGGAACATGGAGTTCATTTTATATAATTAACAGCGGTACCGATAAGGGCTCGATTCTTCATTCCTTTTTAACCCCATCATTTTCTTAACTTAGAACATGCTGAGTCAGCTTTCTTCTCGGACGTGAAACAGTCCTCAGTAGTAAACATCACAGATCAACCTTTCTTTCAATTTACTTCTGCGATATTTGCTGAATTGACACAAAACGTACCTGTAATGAGTTGACTATAGCAAACAAGTATTGAAAAACAACGGTCTTGGCGTTAACACTAAAAAGGCCAAACACCCAAGTTATGCCAAGTAAGGGCATCAGAACCAAAGCTGCCTTAACACCAGATCTGGGGCGAAAACAAAAAAACATTAGCTTGAGGAAGAGATATAGAATATGTAAGATCAGGTTTACTTAGCAGCTTTACTGGATAAACGTAGCTGTCCGTTTGCAGAGCGAACAATATACCTTTCTACACCATCATGTGTGCAGACATTGCGGCTATCTTCGTGTACGGTACGAGAAGTTGCATAGTTAAATGATAAAAAAAATAATGACATTAAAAGTTTTCTTTTAAGAAGGCGACAGTTGATAGTATGAATTAAGAATAAGCTTGAGATCATCGACAAATTGGTTATAAATTTATAAGCGCAACTAAAATAATGAAATAAAATTGATACTCTAACAATAAAACTCAATGTAAGTATTTCCAAATACTAATTTTAAGAGGCTGTGATAGAGCAGTTTTCAATTTTTAAAACCAAACCAATTGCTTCCCAATTAGACTACTCAGCCAGTCTAAAATTTTAGGAAAACCAGAACCAAACCAAAGTAATTGTCTGATTATTTTCGACACTCAATTGAAACCGCTCTAGGACGATAATGAAAATAAGACCACCTACAGTCACATTACAATTTATTGTCACCTCACGGAGTGTTGCTGGGCATTACATTCCGCCACTTTCGTCAAGGAAACCAGAACTTTTATTGTCATTCCAAGGATAACAAGGTTGAACTAAAGAGAAAACAATATCA